AAATGGGAGTATTTGGTTAGCCTGTCCACTACTACCAGAATGACCTCTTTGCCTTGAGAATTTGGCAGTGCAGTGATAAAATCCATGGTAATATGTGACCAAGCCATATCAGGAACAGGAAGTGGTTGCAGCAACCCAGGAGGATGGATGTGTTCTACTTTGTTCAATTGGCACACAGGACACTGGCTAATGAATTCTTCTATGTTCTTCATGTTGGGCCAGTAAAATACCTTTTTCATCCTGTAATAAGTTGCTTTACTCCCAGAATGGCCTCCCAATGCCGAGGAATGGAAGGTTTGCAGTAACTGTTGCCTGAATCCTGTGCTGGCTCCTACATAGATTCTGTTTTTGTATTTTAACAGCCCTTTTGTCAAGGAGAACTTGGGATCTGGACCAATATCGGCAGCTACTTTCTGCAGTAATTTATTGCTGTCCTGATCCCCTTGATAGCTTTGTATCACATCCTCCGTCCACTTTGGAACTACAACAGTAACACTGTTGCACTGCATTGCTTGTATTGTCTCTTTCCTAGAAAGTGCATCAGCCACTACATTTTCTTTTCCCTTTTTATACTCAATAGTATAGTCATACTCCAACAATTTCAGCAGCAACTTGTGTTGTACCCCTTCTGTCAACCTCTGAGTTGTCATATATTTCAGTGACTGTTGATCTGTTTTAATGACCAATTTGTTTCCCCACACATAATGTCTCCACTTCTTGATTGCTTCTAGGATGGCCATTGCTTCCTTCTCATAAATGGACTGAGCTGCAGACTTTGGTCCTAAACTTTTACTGAGATAAGCCAGTGGCTTCCCTTTTTGCATAAGAACTGCTCCAATACCTGTGGCACATGCATCAGCTTCAATAGTGAAAGGCACAGTAAAATCTGGCAGTGCTAACACAGGGCAGCTTGTCATTGCTTCCTTTAATTTTTGAAAAGCTTGTTTCTGTGCTATGCCCCACTGAAATGCATCTTTTCTCAACATATCATGCAAAGGTCTACAGATTTTCCCATAATCTTTAACAAATCTTCTGTAATACCCTGTTAGACCCAGGAATCCTCTTAACTTGGTGGCATTTTCTGGTTCTGGCCAATCCAACACATCTCTGATTTTCCCTGGATCCGTGGACACTCCTTGTTCAGAAATCACATGACCCAGATAATTCACTTGATTTGTTGCAAATGTACACTTAGACCTTTTTACATACAACTTATGTTTTTGCAGTGTGGCAAAAGTTCTTTCCAGATGTTCCACATGTTTTTCTAAGGATTTACTGAAAACCAGCATGTCATCAAAGAATACCAATATACATTTCTCCTCCTCTGGTTCATTGATTTCTTCACAAACATTGTTCATCAGCCCTTGGAAAGTACCAGGGCCACCAGACAGACCAAACGGTACCACTGTATATTCATAATGCCCCATATGAGTCTTGAAGGCAGTTTTTGGAATATCTTCAGTGGCCATTCTGATTTGGTGGTAACCTGACCTCAGATCTAACTTAGTGAACACCTTAGCCCCATAGAGCTCATCCAACAAGTCCTCAATTATGGGCATGGGAAATTTATTCTTTATTGTGAGTGCATTTAGCTCTCTGTAGTCCACACACAATCTCCATCCTCCATCTTTCTTTCTGATCATAATTGCAGGAGAAGAGAAGGGACTGAAACTCTCTTGTATTTCTCCCTTTTTAATTAATTGCTTGATAATTTCTTTCATGGCCTGCTTTTGGTAATGAGGCACTCTGTAAGGTCTCAGATTAGGTGGTTTTGCCCCTTCCTGTAACACAATTCTGTGATCACACTCTCTTTTGGGAGGAAGTTCTTGAGACTCTTCAAAAATCTCAGCAAATTTATGGAGGAGTGGTTGTAGAGCTACAGGAGGAGTTTGTTCTGTGTTGTTATCTGATTCCAACTCATGTACTTGGAGGATGTATCCCATAACACCTTTCTTCAGTAACTTTTCCATTCTGGCTGCTAAAATTACACACTTTTTCCTTGGTATTGTATAATCAAACAAGGTGACTGGTTGTCCTTGCTTGGTCAGAACCAACAGCCTTTCCACCAGATCTAAGCAAATGGGACTGTACTGATAAATCCAATCAGCTCCCAATATAATGTCATAGGAGACTAGATCTAACACTTTAAAACTGCTGTGGAAAGTATGACCTTGCACTTTGAAATTTCTGTCTGGAATCTTAGCTACAGAAACTAATTTTCCACCACCTGCCACTGTTACCTTTCTGGGAGACATAGGTTGTTGGAAACAATTACTTTTAATTGCAAATTCTGTGCTCATGAATGTGTCCGATGATCCACTGTCAAACAGAGCTGTTGCTTTCTTTCCATCCACTTCTACTATCAAGGCAAATGTGTTTGCCCCTGTTGTTCCTTCTGTGGCATGTGCAGAAATGTGCATGGCCTGTGTTGTTTTTGGAACAGTCCCTTCCGGTCCTTTTTCTTTGTCTGGAGTATTTGGTGTTGTATGATATATCTGTTTAGGCATAGTTATTTCTTCTGTACTTTCACTATCCTCATCTTCATCCACTTCTTGTAAAATATGCAAGGTTTTCCCAATTTTGCATTTGTGCTGTCTTGTCCATGGTTCTCTACAATACCAACATGCTCTGGCATCTTTAGGAAAGGGACTCACTTGCTTCTCTTGAGCAGGTACTTGTACTTGCAATGGAGGAGGTGTTTGTTTATAAGCAGGTTGATATGATCTGTTTTTATATCCTGTGGAATAGGGCAACTTCCTTGCTGCTGCTGCTTTTTCATAAACCTTTGCATACCAATAAGCTTCTATGATCCCTGTTGGTTTCTGTCCACATACTTCATGCTTTATATCTGGTTTCAATCCTCCAATGAAACAGGGATGGTCTCTCTTAACTAGAGCTACACAATTTTCAAACTCATCAATGTACTGTGCTACTGATGTGTGCTGTTGAATATTTTTCAGTAACTCCACCGCTTCATGCACACTTGCTTCTGAAAACCTGTCAGCAATCATTTGACAGAATTGTTGCCAAGTGATCATTTGCCATGAACGCATATGTTCTTCAACCAATTTGATGCTCTTCCTTGTAGATGACCAGTAGCTAGATTGACCCATTGGTCATAGGGTGTGCCAGACATGTCAAAGAACTTCTCACAGGCAATCAGCCACCCAATTGGATCTTCCCCACTGAATAATGGTATTTTCAATCTTGGTCCTTTCTGAACAGCTTCAGCAAAATAAGAAGGGCCTCCCAATTGTGTTGCATGTTGGTTTCTTTGAGCCTCATACAAATTTCCTGCTGCCTGATAAACTGGTGGGAGAGAATTTGCTGTTGTTGTCATGTTGATATACTGCCCAGTGATTGGATTGTATGTTGGCCTTGGGTTCTAAAGTGGTGCATTTATCGGAGCAAAATATCCACTATTGCCTAAAAACCCCAATGTATGAGCCTGTACTGCCACACTGGTACTTGCCGCTGACACCCTGAATTGCTGTTGTGCTGGATTTTCTTGCTGTTTGTCAGTGTGGATCTTGGTGCTTTCAGTAAACATACTCACTGGAGGTAACCCTGAGGTTATTCCTGCCCCAACTGTGACTGGCATATGTCCTTGATTCACGAAGTCTTGATGCCGATTTCTGGTTACTGGTGGCTGATCCATTTTTGTCTGAAGAGGAACTGATAAACCTTGTGGACTGTTCGCTCCCCTTTCTGAACATACCGGAGAAACATCACTTGGTGTTGCTGGCTCCACCTTCTGACTGCTTACTGACATGTTTTGCAATATCAGGTTGAGAGTCTTCTGAATTTCCGTGTTCATCTCTGTCAGTTTCGCTTCAACCCGTGGCATAGTCACCATTTCAGAGCGTAATTGCTGTACTTCTGTTTTCAATCCTTTCAGATTCGATAGCTCCTCTCTGAATTCCGCTACTTCCTTTTCCAATCTGTCCACCGTGATCTGAACTTTTGCCCGTGTGTCTGCCATCTTCAGATCGAGTGGATGACCGACACCTTGAATTTGTACTCCTCGATCTGGGCTTCACTCCTGTGTAGCCGTCGGACGAACTGAACCTTCCAGTAGCACATGGATCGTCGTCAGGGACAGGAATTTTACCACGCGGAGAAGATCCCCACGCAACCTTCCCGAACTCGTCGATCTGCGCCCGAATGCTCGCCGCCGCCGCGGTCGCCTCCACAAACTTCCCCACCGCCTCCGCAAACAGGGAGGGACGGGAGGGATTTTACAGGAGAACCCAACCCCTCGTCCTCCTCTGTCTGATCCGCCGCCCAGCGTCGCTGTTGCCGATGAATCGACTGGCTTCTGATACCTTCGTGAGATGCTAAACACCAGCAATTGTCCGATCTACGCGAATTTCATTAGCACAAGATAGTTGGTGGGTACAATTGGTAGATCGGGATGTACGATACCCTGCCCTAGAGGATGAACTAGGGTTCCTAGCTACTATGAATTTGGGGAATTTTCGATTTGGGTCTCCCGTGCCCTACCTTGCTACATATAGCTGGCCAGCTCATACAGTAATTAAATGGTTACAGCACAGTAAAGTTTAAAGTGAGAAGTAACTGGCGAGGATCCATCCGAGCCGTTGGATCTCCCTGAACTCCCTCGAGTCATCTAGACCGTTGCTTGACTGAACTTGTGCGCTGTTGGTGGTCTTCAGAACTGTCTTGGTTTTGATCCTGACAATAAAGAAGCATCATAATGTGGTGTTAATTTTTCGTGTCTAATTTCTCAAGGCCAATGAACCAGATTGAGAAGAAATAAACAAACATGCTATTACCATTTAACAACGGGCGACAAATCTACCCACGCAAATGCATGGGTCATTCCGCTAGTTGGTACTTAAGCTTCATTAATGGTACTAAATATCATCAATGTTCACTTGTTCAAATTGCAACTTGTTTGAAATTTGTGTGTCGGAGTGCAGCATCGGTTCTACGGGGAGTCAAAGCCGTTTGGCAATGACTCGTACAAGTCAGTTGACATGCTGGGCTACCTGACGTCCACACAGGCGCTCGCCGACTTTGCCATCCTCATCACGAGCCTTAAGCAGAACATGTCCATTGTTGACGCCCCCGTCGTCGTCTTCGGCGGCTCTTACGGTGGCAGTAAGTCTATCACTAACGTGTTTCCTTATATTATATCCGTTCATGCATTAGTCTGAATCTCCTTAAGTTTATTATTATTTTTAGGAGGGCTTGCCGCCTCCCGGCTCGTTTTGTTTTTAGGAATCACCGGGCTTGGGGTGGG